GAGAAACTCCCTTTCTCTGTCTGCCCGGTGGGGTCCCACATGCTGGGAGCTGAGCTTTCCTGTGGAGCAAATCCGCTCCAGTTTTCCAGCTGGAGGGGGTTTTGTTCTGGGTTTTTTTTTTTGGTCCGTTTTCTAGGTAGTGCGACAAACGTGCTTCGAAATCCCCACGGCAGACACGCGGCCATGGAAAGTCATGGCATACTTGGTTCGCTCGACGACGCACTGTTTCTGCCACTCTCATTTTTCCGTCTCCTGTTGTCCTCGTGAGGTTTCAAAGTCCTGCGCTCCTCGTAGCAGACTCCTCCGCCATGTGGGGCAGTTCTGGGTGACGGTCTCCCACCAGTTGATGCTGAGGCTGCATTTTTTTCAAGTTGGCCTTGAGGACGTCCTGTGTCAGAGAATCACAGGAAAAGAGGGGTGGATGGGACCTCGGGAGGTTGCGTAGCAGGCTTGCCTTTCGGAGCTTGGGTCGAGTCCCAGGCTGGAAATCTTGTTTGGATTGGTGGAGCTCATCCCCCAACCAGGAGGCAGCAAGAGGAGTTCAGTCACGCCCCTTTCCTGAGGGGAGGGGGAGAGGAGTTCCCGCCCCCCTCCCGGACCTGATTGAAGACTGCAGCACTCATGAGGTTGGAAGATTTCAGGGGCGGAGCCCCGGGGAGGATAAAAGGGGCTGCACACCCAGCACAAGGGAGATGCATCCGGGAGCGAGAAGAGACAAGAGCGGGCTTAGAAGAGCTGAGGAGAGCTGCTCAGCAGTAGCCTGGAAGCGCCCCTGAAGACAGCCATCAGCGGGGAATGGTGCACGGCTCCAGCGGCTAGGCTCTCGCTGCGCAGCACGGTGCAGCCGTCCAAACCCTGGGAGCTGGGTGAGGAGGCTCGGGGCTGCAACCTCTGGCGTGCGGTCAAGAGACGTGGTGCACAGGACGGTGCACGGAGCAGGACCTTTGGAGTGCCTGCATGGCTCAGGTCCTCAACCCCCAGCACAAGGCCAGCAGCTCGGTGCAGGAGACGCTGCACGGAGGGTCCGGGAGCAAACCGAGCCTGGTGCTGCACAAGGCGGCCCAGGCCTCTGACCCATAGCAAAAGGTTCGAGTCCAGAGAGCCAGACGGTGATCGGGCTACTGAGCCAGCAGACAGGGCTGAGCCAGAGGCCCTGCATAGTGAAGCCCTGTTCCAGGGGACAGTGACCCCCCCCAAAGGCCACCACAGGTGAGACAGCAGCTTGGTGCAGAGGACGAGGGCCACCCCCCAGGCCTGGGAGCCATGAGTTGCAGGGAAAGGGGATTCCCACAGGGGACAGGGAGTTAAGGGCTCCTGAAAGGGGAGGTCCCACTGGGAGGCCACCCTGAAGTTACCAGCTTCCTTGTAGGGCTTGGGAAAAGCCCAGGGGCATTGGGGTTTCCCCTCAGGATTGAGTTTATCTTTGGGGTTTACCTGTTTCAGGTCAGATACTTACCTGTGACTTACCTGTATCTGGAGCACTGGTATAAGGTTTTATGGCATTTACCCAGCGGGTGTTGATTATGTTACTGGCTTAGGTATCTTATAAAGATATATATACACATTGTACATATGTTTGTATCCACGTTCCTTTCCCTTGTGATAAGTTAACGGAAACAAATGTGTACATAGTTCAGTCCCTGGCTGTCCTGGCCTGGTGCTCCAGGGACGGTGGGGACCCGGGCGGTCTGCAGTTCCCCGCGCACAGCGCACCTGCCAACTAGCAATCCCCTTCAGCTGGAGATGGGGAGGATGTACCCAAGTTACCTGGGCTACAGTTGCATCCAGTCTGACCCCCTGCTCCAAGCAGGACCAGCCCCAATTACATCATCCAGCCAAGGCTTTGTCGAGCCAGGTCTGAAAAACCTCCAAGGATGGAGATTGCACCGCCTTTCTGGGGAACCTGTTCTGGTGCTTTGCTGCAATGATTTGTGCTGCTTTGCTAGGAAGGGAACAAGGAGTTGGGGATATGCGCTGTGCAGGCTGGGAGAACTGGCTACGCTCCTGCAGAAGACAAGGGTTTGATGAGGGCAAAAGGTGTCCGTGGACCCAGGCCAATGATTCTTGGGTTTGAACCCGGCCGTTGCTGTTCATCTGTCATGCGTCTTTGCCAAAGCTGATCTTTGAGTTGGCCTCAGTTTCTGCATCTGCAAAAAAGGATCTGCACCTTTGTTCTACCCTGAACATACAGGCTTGGTTTGCTCTTCCGTGCAGACAACTTGGCGGAGCAGTGTTCGTGTTTTTCTTGATGGCCGTCATTCAAAAGTGAAACCCAAAGCAGCGAAAAACCCTCGGCAGCAGCATTTCATTCCTTGTTGGGGATTAACCCCTAACTATCTTTGATTATCCTAGCCTTGCTTACTGCTCCTCCCTCAGAAAGGGGCTTCAGGGGATAGCTAAACCCCTTGTGCAGTGCTTAGGAAGGCCTAAGCATTAAACTGCTACTAGAGGGCTTGACAGAAGTGTAATAAATGGTATTCTGCAAAACTAAATAGTTATTTTTCTTCACTCTTTTATTCCATGAAGCTGGGCCCTTCATTTTTTTGTTTGTTTTAGAAGTAACCAAATGTCACTCCTCCAACAGAAATAAAAAAGACAACACACCCGTGTTACAAAACCTTGTATTAATCATCTCCCTTCACTTTCAATCGAACGTTGATATGAAATATAGCCATGATTCCTAGTTACATGGGAGGAAATGAGTAATAAATACATTGTAGCAAGTTTAAATCACAAGGGTGTCTCACTGGTAACAACATTTGAAAACTGTACACTTGCAAAGAACAGCATCTCCAAACATTAGTATTTCTTTATATCAGGAAGCTTTTACATGTAACACACATGCTATTTCCATATATGACAAATTTAAAAAATATGCATTGCTTGGCAACATTGACTAGGCAAAAATATTTCTTTGTGCACTAAGTTTGTACAGAAAAAACAAAAACAAAAAACAAAACAAAAAACCCGGGACTAAACGCATGCATGTACAATAAGGGGCTGCCTTTGATGGCATGCAACAAAGGAAAATTCAAAGCTTTTGAAAGTAAGCTTACAATATGCATAAATACATCGGGGTTATATATTATTAAGGGAGGAAGTATTCTGTTTAACATTATTAACATTCCTGTTTTCTTCCTATTCCTCCCAGAGGAATACACATTCACCTTTAAGTAAAGATAAAGGAATACAAAAAATAAAACTCACTTTGCAAACTCTGATGACTTGTATAAAATCAACTTTAGTGTTTTCATAGCTGTGTGCAAATTATACTTCTGCAGGATCTACTTTTCATCAGGCACATTCAGAAAGCCTAACATGGGTCATGTCTCCGCACCCCGGGAGAGAGAAACGTGATGACGGGCATCTTTTTCTTTTTTGAAGCGCTGACTAAGCATCGAGCTCTGGCTCCCGCCCCTCGGCTCTCCCCCTGCGTGGACCGAGGGCTGCGCACCAGTGGGTGCTCCTAGATCACAGTATTGTTTCTGCGTTCAGGCTGCAGCTGTCTGGGGAGACATCCCCAAACGTCTATGTTTCGAGGGGGGAAAAAAAAAAGGGGGGGGGGG